TCTCTCTCTCTCTCTCTCGCTCTCTCTCTCTCTCTCTCTCTCCCTCTCCCTCTCTCTCTCTCCCCTTCCTCCCTCGCCCGCTCTCTCTCTCTCTCTCTCTCTCTCTCTCTCTCTCTCTCTCTCTCTCTCTCTCTCTCTCTCTCTCTCTCTCTCTCTCTCTCTCTCTCTCTCTCTCTCTCTCTCTCTCTCTCTCTCTCCCTCTCTCTCTCTCTCTCTCCTCCCTCTCTCTCCCTCTCTCTCCCTCTCTCTCTCTCTCTCTGTCTCTCTCTCTCTCCCCCGTTCAGCTCGGTTTAACGCTCGCTCAGACACACTCAGAGCCGTTTCACAAACACACATGACAATACGCTGCTGTGTTTACCTTTGTTGCTCAACACCGCACGCACACACACACACACTCACACACACACACACACACACACACTCTCTCACACACTCACACACACACACTCACACACACACACTCGAACAGAAGACATGATCTGGACTCTCAGGTCTCGGCCCTGATGTCCTCGACCCTCAGGTCTGTTTATGACCTGAATAACCTTTGACCCTGAAGTTCACAGACAGGCTGTCAATCATCTTCTGGGTCATTTATCCGGGTCTTTAGTAAAGGAGGTAAAAGTGGGTCCACCATCAAACTCAAGACCAGGTCTAACCCTCGTCTCCCTCCACAGGGGCAGTACCGGCCTTCAGACCTCCTGTGCCCGGAAACCTTCGCCTGGGTCTCCATCGAGGAATGCCTTCCCCATCTGGAGAACTCCCGCTACGCCCGCTTCAACCCAGATCCTGATGCAGGTACAGCTCTGAAACCCAGAACTCTAGTATGAACCTAAAGTTAAACACCAGAACCGGTCCTGAGAGAGCAGACCCGGAGACCCAGAAAGAACCTGAAAGTAACTCCAAAGATCTGTTAGTCTAAAGTTATTGAGATAAAATTTAGTTAAAAGACTAAAAAGGTTTTTAGTTTGTAATTATAAAAATATATTATATTGAGGTTCATGGACTGTAAACCAAGCAGACTCTTACTAGCTCACTAAAGTCTGGTCCCTGAATTCTGGTCCCTGAAGTCTGGTCCCTGAATTCTGGTCCCTAAACTGGTTAAATGGTGGAGATGTTCTTCATATTTTCATTTAAATTCTGAGAAAAGTTCCTCGGATGGGCAAAAAAAATCTAACTGAAAAAGGTCAGTGAAGGTCCACCTGAAGGTCCACCTGAAGGTCCACCTGAAGATCCACCTGAAGATCCACCTGAAGGTCCACCTGAAGATCCACCTGAAGGTCCACCTGAAGATCCACCTGAAGGTCCACCTGAAGGTCTACCTGAAGGTCCACCTGGTTACCTGGGTCAGTGGAGGTCATGGTTCTGCAGAACTCAAAGTTAAAGCCTGACCCAGCAGACAAATATCTGACCCACCACTCAGTCTTGGATCCTGGATTCTGGATGAACCCCAGAACTCTTCTGTTAGCGTCTGATCTGGTTTCTGTGGGCAGGGGTCTCTGACTGAGGGCCAGCAGCTTTCTTCACACAGTCTCGGGTCCAAACAATCCTCCAGCTCGGATCCTCAGAGCCGAGCCAGCGCGCTGGTTCTGGACGGGCCGTGTTGGTATTAGATGAACAGTGATACCAGCAGAACTAAACCACACAGAGAAGGCAGACCGGCAGACGCCTGCTGCTCGGAGGGCCGGGGTGAGAACCAGGATCAGGGAGCCGGACTGTCGTTTCTCACTTTAGAGACTCTGAAGTTCTTCAGTCTCAAAGTAGAACTGAGTCTCATCTGCATGAAAACAAACGTCCTCATTACGTCACCCAGAGGAAGCGAGTATACAGGATGTAAAGAACCGGTCTGAGCCAAACCTAAAGTGAGTCAATGTGGACCAGAGTGGTCCAGTGGACCAGGGCCAAGAACTCCAGCTGACTTCAGTCTATTAATCTGACAAACCCAGAGAGAGAGTCAGGAGAGGACAAGAACGGTGGAGTGGACCGGGACTGATGGACGGACGCAGACGGGGGGGAGGGGCAGCATCACATTAAAGGGTTTTATAAAGATTGGACAGGGGGGGGGGGCACTGAGAGAGAGAGAGAGGGAGAGAGAGAGAGAGACAGAGAGAGAGAGAGAGAGAGAGGGAAATATAATAAAGAGGAGATGGATGGACCAGCAGCAGGAGAAGGCGGAGGAGGACAGGGGGAGTGAGGTCATACTTCGACTGTGAGCCGGATCAGAACAAATACTCATGTAGACGTTAGAGAGATAGATCTCTCTGTCCGGGAGGGTCCACAAGGTCAGGAGTCAGACTGTGTGAGGATGTGAAGTTCAGGGTCTGAAGGTCTGAAGTTCAGTCACAGGTTTGAAGGAAATCTGGTTTCTGTTCATTTCTGTCCTGGATGGTGTTCTTTGTTGACTCAGTGGGCGGAGAGGGTACCACACCCAGGACAAACCAGGACACCAGGACCCATGAGTGCCCGGGTCCATTCAGACAGGACCATGAACAGCTTCATCAGGGCTCCACAGTGTGACCGTTTCACTCACATCTGCGATTAAAAATAGATGATGTAGAATCGTCAAATGTCTTTGGGGTCAATTAAAAAAAAATCAACAAATGTTTTTCCTGTAAATACGGCGGTGAAGTTAGTTTCAGGTTGGATATATTTTCCTGTAAATACGGCGGTGAAGTTAGTTTCAGGTTGGATATATTTTCCTGTAAATACGGCGGTGAAGTTAGTTTCAGGTTGGATATATTCTCCTGTAAATACGGCGGTGAAGTTAGTTTCAGGTTGGATATATTTTCCTGTAAATATGGCGGTGAAGTTAGTTTCAGGTTGGATATATTCTCCTGTAAATACGGCGGTGAAGTTAGTTTCAGGTTGGATATATTTTCCTGTAAATACGGCGGTGAAGTTAGTTTTAGGTTGGATATATTTTCCTGTAAATACGGCGGTGAAGTTAGTTTTAGGTTGGATATATTTTCCTGTAAATACGGCGGTGAAGTTAGTTTCAGGTTGGATATATTTTCCTGTAAATACGGCGGTGAAGTTAGTTTCAGGTTGGATATATTTTCCTGTAAATACGGCGGTGAAGTTAGTTTCAGGTTGGATATATTTTCCTGTAAATACGGCGGTGAAGTTAGTTTTAGGTTGGATATATTTTCCTGTAAATACGGCGGTGAAGTTAGTTTCAGGTTGGATATATTTTCCTGTAAATACGGCGGTGAAGTTAGTTTCAGGTTGGATATATTTTCCTGTAAATACGGCGGTGAAGTTAGTTTTAGGTTGGATATATTTTCCTGTAAATACGGCGGTGAAGTTAGTTTCAGGTTGGATATATTTTCCTGTAAATACGGCGGTGAAGTTAGTTTCAGGTTGGATATATTTTCCTGTAAATACGGCGGTGAAGTTAGTTTTAGGTTGGATATATTTTCCTGTAAATACGGCGGTGAAGTTAGTTTCAGGTTGGATATATTTTCCTGTAAATACGGCGGTGAAGTTAGTTTCAGGTTGGATATATTTTCCTGTAAATACGGCGGTGAAGTTAGTTTTAGGTTGGATATATTTTCCTGTAAATACGGCGGTGAAGTTAGTTTCAGGTTGGATATATTTTCCTGTAAATACGGCGGTGAAGTTAGTTTCAGGTTGGATATATTTTCCTGTAAATACGGCGGTGAAGTTAGTTTCAGGTTGGATATATTTTCCTGTAAATACGGCGGTGAAGTTAGTTTTAGGTTGGATATATTTTCCTGTAAATACGGCGGTGAAGTTAGTTTTAGGTTGGATATATTTTCCTGTAAATACGGCGGTGAAGTTAGTTTTAGGTTGGATATATTTTCCTGTAAATACGGCGGTGAAGTTAGTTTCAGGTTGGATATATTTTCCTGTAAATACGGCGGTGAAGTTAGTTTTAGGTTGGATATATTTTCCTGTGAATACGGCGGTGAAGTTAGTTTTAGGTTGGATATCTGACGGACATTCTCTGAGGATCTACCGGTGTCTTCTCACTCTCCATAAGCGGGAATAACAACAGCAGCGCGGTTAAATCTACTCGACACCCCTCTGCGTCCAAAGATCGCTCCTCTGTCTGCGTCTCTGTGTACTGGTTCTCCAGTTGTTGATCTTGGACCGGTCCAGACTGGGTTTTTTCAGGCGGACCGGTCCAAACACTGTCACCATGCTTCAATGCTGGCTGTGTTGATGTGGAGTTCTGGGGCCTGGTGCCAGCCTGTGGGAGGTTCTGGTGGTTTGGAGTTTTCCAGTGGTCAGTCAGTCAGCAGGTCATGGTCAGGTTGGCAGCATGGTGCTCCGTGGACCGCTGTGGTGCTCCGTGGACCGCTGTGGCGCTCCGGGGACCGCTGTGGCTCGGTCCTAATAGGCAGTTTGTTCCTGTGCGGCTTGTTTTTGGTCTCCAGTAAGAGGTCCGGATCTGTTCCCAAGTCCTGAGTGGATGTGATGGACTGAAACCTCCTCAGACTCTGATGGACGTGGTTTTACTCTGATGTCGCCCGTTGGCGTGGCGCCTGATGTGTGGCAGTAAAGCCATCGCCACGTTGGTTTTCTGGGTCTGCATGTGACCACAGTTGGGCCTGGAGGATCAGCAGAAGCCCAGTTTTCTTTACTTGAAAGGTTCTGGTTTTAGGACTCTAGAGGGTGAAGACAGAGGAGACAGAGTCAGACGACACCATGATGAGAAGAAATCTCTGTATTTCTGAACATCGAGGTTCACGGACCAACGATGATGATGATGAAGGTTCTGGTTGTTCTACCTGCTCAGCAGAAAGTCCAGGTCCCTCAGAGTTGGTTCTGTTCTAGTCTCAGATGATCAGTCATCTCTCTGGTTCTGTGCGCCCCGGTTCTCTTTGTTCTGAATGATTCAGCGTTAATATTTCACTGTAGGGTTTTTTTGGCAGTAATATCCAAATCTCTCTGCCGATACTTCCTGTTTTGCGATGACTGCCGCCCTCATATGGTTACGACTACCGTAGTGAATCCTATAGAGGCGCACACGACTTTCAGCTTTCCAACACCGCTGAAATTTTCCTGATCGGACTTTGTTGAAGTTACGGTAAAAACATTCTGAGTATACAAAACAGAGCGCCGGCGGGCGCCATGACGGTATTGAAACTGATACCTGAGACCAGGAAACCGAGACGGTCCGGAGAGTCAAAACAGACGGACGAACGTGAACCGATCTGGTCCCATCAGTTCTCACACTGCCTGGTTCTGAGGCCCCTCTTCAGACCCACATGTGTGTGTGTGTGTGTGGGGGGGGGTGTTGGTTGTGCGTTCAGATTGTGTGACCGGGTCACAGAGCGGTCCTAATGAGGTGTGTAAAGACGGCTAATCTAAAGTTTACACTCTTCTGTCCAACACACACTCACTGGGATTACACGCCTGTTTCTCCCATACAAGGACACACACAGATACACAAACACACACACACACACACACACACACACACACTCATAATGAGTGTTTCCTCACACTCTGAAGTAGCAGCATTGTTCGCTCTGCAGGATAAACACTGTCAGTAAAGAGGGACACGAGTTCTCAGACCAGGACCTCGAGGGCGCTCTGCAGGCGCCAAACAGACGCACTGAGTTCCAGCGCACCCGTGGACGCCAGGATGGAGGTCGTCCTCCTGGAGTTCTCGCTGTTTGTGTCAAACAAAGTCAAGAGTCTGAGATCTTTGTTTCTGTATCTGAGGTCATGGTTTTGGGGTCGATCCAAAAACCAGTCTGAGTCCCAGAAGAGAGACCAAAACCTCCGGACCTCAGAACAGAACTGACGGATTCCTCTCATGTTCCTCTCATGTTCCTCTCATGTTCCTCTCATGTTCCACATTCACTCCCACAGAGTTGATCTAAAGACGTCTGAGACCTGGACCATTAAAAACATTGAAATAAAATAAATAAAAATACAAACATCAAACCCCGCCCACCCTCACAACCCCTCATTCAACACGTACAGCACTCACACATTCACACACACACACACACACACACACACACACACACACACACACACACACACACACACATCTAAGACCAGGTCAACTCTCCACAGATGACTGAGGAAACTCTGGATCTGAGACTAAAACGATAAAACTATAATAAAATTTAATTAAAGTGATAAAGTGTTTAAACTTAATAAAATAAAACAGTTTTAACGTCAAACAAGAACAGAAATTTAATTTAAAAAGACGTAATAAAACACAGAATAGTTACTCTGGGACTAAAATAGGATAAAATCACATAATTCAGATTAAAAGATTAAAACTAAATTGAACTAAAAGACTAAAAAGGTCTTTAGTTTAGTTTTAAAATCTGAACAGTAGATGGCGCTCTCAGGTCTGCAGGTCGGCTGTTCCACAGATGAAGACTGTAATATTGGAAAGATGATTCACCGCATGTTTGAGTTTTTATTTTGGGAATGATTAAAAGACCTGAAGACCTGAGGGCTGGACCAGGATCACACGGTAAAACGAGAAGGACCATGAAGACCATGAAGAGCTTTAAAAACTAACAAAAGAACCTGAAACTCTAAAATCAGACTCAGGGAACCAACGTCGGCGTGATGATGTGGGCTCTCTGAATATTGAAGGAGCAGAAGAACCTGTGAGAAGATCTTTTTAGGAAGACCAGACAGGAGACGCATGAAGGTTCTCCAAAACCTGCTGGTGGACCTTCAGCTGTGTTGACTCGGTCTTGTCTGAGCTGCTGGTTCACTCCTGGGTCTCTGGGGTCACAGTCAGAGACTCTGGTCTCTGTGGTGGTCTCTGTGGTCTCCATCAGACTGAAGGATGGTCGGGTTCCTCTCCTAGTCCTGTTTTCTTGGACCTCCTGCCCCTTTTCTCTCATTTTGAGGAGCAGCTCCGAGAACTCTTTTGTCCTTCAGGAAGTCCCTCTCTCTCCGACTCTGAGGTCAAGATCCTCGGTCAGATTTGGGGTTTGGGGGTCTTGTACCACAGAAGGGTCTTGAACCCTCTCTGTGTCTCTGGCTCTGGTTCTTTCAGACCCGGGTCTTCTCCTGGATCTGAAACACCGGGTCAGAGGAAGCGGTCGTAACCCCGCAGACTCATGGAGTCTTTGAGATTTTGAGGAGAGAGGAGGAGCGTGAGGAGGTGTCAGGACCCCTCGCCTCGCCTCTGACCCTCACCACTCCTCTTCCCCCGACCCTTGAACCCCGACCCCGCAGAGCAGTGACCTCGGAGCGGCGTGTCGCTGAACGTCCGGTGGGCCTGCAGAGAGAAGGGTCTGGATCTCCTCAGCAGGAGGAGGAGGAGGAGGAGTGAGAGTTGTTTATGTGAGCAGCGGATGTTTGGAGTGAGGAGAGCGATGAGGTCTCTGCTGAGGTTAATAGACCCTCAGAGAGCTCCAGGAGACCAGGACCAGGAGAGTCCAACACTCTCACACACTCTCACACGTCTCTGTTTAGGTCCGAGTAAGCATCTGTCAGCGTGATGAAGAACAGGAGGACGTCCTCTGAAGGACGAGGAGCTTCTTCAGGAAACATCAGATCTTTAAACATGAACGCTCTCAGCTGTCAGCGTCCATCTCCTCAGTCTGCTGAAGGGAGGAGGAGGAGGAGGAGGAGGAGACACCTTCAGAGAGGAGACTCAGCAGGTTTAGAGAGACGGCGGTGAGGGCGTCACTGATGGAGGAACTGAAGCTGATAAATCAAACAAGGAGGAGGAGGAGAGAAGGAGGAGAAATAAATCCAGAGAGGTTATAAAATCAGACAAATGTAGAGACACGGAAATATAAAAAAGGACCTCAGTGTGATTTTAGTTTGTAGATGATCGTCGAACCTTCAGACAGAGAACTTCAGAAGGTTCATGATGGACTCAGTCTCAGGTTCACAGTCAGTCCGTTTCCATGACACTCGAAAAAACGAATTATCGCCTTATTCCGATGAAGACCGGACAACTGAAGGTCATGTAAACACTTTAGTCCGACTATAATCGAGTTTAAGAACTTTGATTAAAACACACAGATAATGAGATTAGAATTCGATTTTCTCTACCATGTAACCAGCGTAGTCGGAGTATGATCGGAAACAGCGCTGCTGAAAAGACCCATATCGCCCCCTAGTGTTGGGGAGGAGGACACGTTCACGTCAGTAATTCAATTTTCTCAGCTGCATGTAAACGAGGACGAGGAGAGAAGTCTGATTCAGAGAAAAAGACGAGTTATGAGGTTAGTCTGATTAAAGTGAGACTGTAAACGAACTGAGTGACAGCCGGAATAATTGCGCCACAGGACAGGAAGTAAACTCAGGTGAAGTGCTCCCTACTGCCCCTTGAGGAAACCAGAGGAATTGCAGGTAAATCAGCAGGAGACATGACAAACTCCGGTCAACAACAAATCCAGTCGAGCTGCCGAGTCCAGGGATCAGCTGATCGTCCCGCTCTGTTCTGTCGAGAGAGCAGCGTTTATTTCCCATCATGCTCTGCTGCTGCTGAAGACTCAGAGTTTAAATCAGTAAAAGGGCCGAAGGAGAACCTCTCAGACCTGCAGAAACCACACAGAGGCCCTTAAACCAGAACCAGTACCGACGCTGCTCCACAGGGACTCCAGGTTCAGGAACTAAAAACACTTAAGCTCCTCCCACAGGTCCCCAGAGGTTAAACCACGAGGAGAAATCAGGACGCTGTTTACTGACTGTGTTTAACACTCCCCCTGTGTGTGTGTGTGTGTGTGTGTGTGTGTGTGTGTGTGTGTGTGTGTGTGTGTGTGTGTGTGTGTGTGTGTGTGTGCGCGTGCGTGCAGGAGACGCTCGGCTGCTGAAGGACGTGGGCCGCGCTCTGGTTCTCCACAGACGGACCGTCATGCCGTACGCCGTCTACTCCAAGAAGCGTCGAGGTTCGAGTGACGAGGTGGAGGTCCAGCAGTACGCCGGGCTGGTGGGTCAGGACTGTGCCGAGAGGATCCTGCTGTACCGGGCCTGAACACACACACACCTGAGCACCTTTTAACCTGCATACGTGCACACTAAGACACACACACACACACACACACACACACACTCACCTCTGTGTTGGTCCGTCTGCTTCCTGCTGCCTCGTCTCTCTCGTCTCTCGTTCAGCTTCACGATGAAGGAGCCAATCACAGTCTGCTGTATTCCATAGTTATCCAATCACACGTCAGTCCTCCTGTGACCTCTGACCTCTCTCCCGCAGCGTCCTCTCTCACATATATTTGACCCTTGAACCCTACAGACCTGATGCTGTTAAAAACGTCCAAAAAAAAAAAACAAGTTTCAGATTTTATTTTATTTTTATTTTTCAGCCTCAAACTTAAAATTCAGCTTTAAGAGAAGCTGAGAGCGCACTGTCTGTGTGTGTGTCTGTGTGTGTGTGTGTGTCTGTGTCTGTGTGTGTGTGTGTCTGTGTGTGTCTGTCTGAAATATTTATGGCTTTATTTCCTTTTATTATTGATCTGTTCTTGTTTTCGCTCAAACCAAATAAAGGTTGTATCTTCACTCTGTGGACCTCACGGCTCTCCTTTGTTCCTCATCTGTGAAGGCTCTGCTGAACTTTATCTCCAGGTTTAGGACCATCAGGACTCTGGAGTTGGAGTCACTGCATGGTCGTACTATCACCTGTCTGCGAACTGTCCTGAGGTCTGATTGATCAGAATCTAACCTGGGAGTCTCACTGGATCTGATCCACCACCACCGCCTAGAGGAGAAGCTCACGTGATATTACTGATAGTTCTCGTGAGACTGGATGAGATCTCACGTGTTTCCCTGTGAGACATAGAATGAGATCCGCCGATCGGTGTGCTTAAGCAGCGGTGAATGTAAACACCCCCATCCCACAACAACCCTGACCTCTCCTGTTATCAAGAACAGTTCAACATATTGACTTTCTTTTATTTTGAAAATTAACAGGATATTTTACTCTGTAATCACATACAACTTCCTCTGCTGCTCGTGCTGCACTGAATTAATGCGCCATGCTGTGGCGTCCAGCAAAAATAGAAGACTTGTGTATCTGATCCGACCGCTGGAGCCGATCCGCAGCGGAGCTGGACAGGTTCTGTGGAGTGACTCATTGATTATAATGTTTACATATTTGATCCGTTTGCTGTGCCGAAGCAGAGCGGCCCGTAACCCCCAATTTTTCACATTCAATCACACGATAACGAGTTGTCTCTATAAAGACAGACACATAGACATATAAGCAGTAGATTGTGTCCTTCCAGAGGAGGAAATCTACTTCTAGACTTCTAGAATCAGCATCTCCTCATCCATGGTGTCATCGGGGTGAAATGACGTCTAAAAACCTTTCACTTGTTCGTCTCCGCCCGTTTACATGGTGTGAAATACGATCCTCCTGAAACACGGAGTGTCTTATTTTGAAAAGAAGACGGATGTTTTATTTTGAAAAGAAGCCGGATGTTTTATTTTGTGTCTGTGCCCGACTTCCTTTCCAGCACGGGTTAATCTGTGCTGAATTTATCCGCCATGCTCCGGCGTCTGACGGAAAGAAGTCGGTGTAAATTGACACGTTAACTTGAATGGTTACGATCAGCTACGATCGGAGGATACGACCTTTTAGGAGACGATCAGGATGGAGGTGGAGATCGGGGGTCAGACAATCTTCTGGAAAGGACAACTGGACCTAAGCGAAACATCTCGGCTAAGTCCAGTTGTCCTTTCAACGTAGACCTCTGAATCATAGATGTTGCATCGTCTGTTTGCTCTGTACGGCTGCAGCTAAGTCAGGCTTGAACTTTAGTAACCTCCAGGGCGTTTACCTCCACAGCCGGGCGCCGAGGGTCCTTATGACGCCCACCTGAGGACACGACCCTGCAGCCAACAGGTAAACCTGAGACCACAGAGAGTCCGCCTGACCCTGGAGCAGACAAGTGAGTGTGTGTGTGTGTGTGTGTGTGTGTGTGTGTGTGTGTGTGTGTGTGTGTGTGTGTGTGTGTGTGTGTGTGTGTGTGTGTGTGTGTGTGTGGCCGCTCTAACATCAGGACGGACTGACGGGTTAATTCTCAGAGAAGGGAACACTGACGCTGGCGGGCGGCCATGTTGGATTCACTGTTTCTCTCCCACATTAGGCATGCTCTCCCTCACACACACACGCACACACGTACACACACACACACACACACACTCACACACACACTCCTGGCAGTGTCAGCAGCAGTTAGTCCTGGTGTCCTCACAGGGGGACATGTGCCAGGCCTGTGGTGGACCTCTCTCTGTCAAAACAAGTGGCCTGACCCTCTGGGCCGCTCTGTAATGAGTGGGTGAAGCCGCAGGACGCCGCCTGGCAGAGTCCCGCCCTCCCTCGCTCTCCTCGCTCTCCTCCATCATCATGTCACCAGTCATAACTCTGAATGTCAGACCTGAGACCGCCAGGTTTAGATCCTCTCTCTGAGTTATTTTAAACTCGTGGAGCTGAGTGGGCGGAGCCTGTTACTGGAAAAGAAAGAGTGGGTCAAAGGTGTGACCCTGCGGTGAGATAACGTTCAGAAGTTCAGTTTTTGGAGTGAAGTTTACAGATCTGAGGAGTTTCAGGAGGAGGAGGAGGAGTCCAGACGCCGCTGTGATCCTGGTCTGTCCGTCATGTAGGGGGGGGGGCTGTGTCAACTCTGCCCACAGTTTGTAGTGTGTGTTTACTCTGCTCTGTGTGTGTGTGTGTGTGTGTGTGTGTGTGTGTGGGCTGCTGGTTTACGTTGGCTCCTCATCAGAACTTCATGTTTGTCCTCATTTGTGTTTTTGATGCTGACTCCTGTCTCCACTGCTGCTTCTGTGTCTGTGTGTCTGTTGTCTGTGTGTCTGTTGTTTGTGTGTCTGTTGTGTGTTGTAGTACAGTCCTGTATTACTGCTACATGTTTTTACTGCCCCCCCCCCCCCCCCGAACCAGCGGAAGCTCCCAGGCCAGAGGAAGTCCTGGGCCCCTTTGTGAATGTGGCCCCATAGGATTAAGCGTATCGTCCCTAAATGGAGGGTCTTTCTCTGGGGGATTATGTGGGGGGCCGGGGGGGCTGTTGCTCACACTGAGGCCCTGTCACCCAAATTCAACACACCATCACCAGACCCCCCCTGGTCTGATAAAGGGGGGTCAGTTCCCCTAGAGACAAAAATACTAAAGTGATTAACCCGAGATATTAAAGGGATATTCTGGAGTAAAATTAATTCAGGGTCAAACCCACCATAACACCGAGTTAGACCCCCCCTCCAGAGATGAATGTTGTCGACCGCTTCCTTCTCTAGTTATACCAACTTTAGTAACGACCGCAGGATAGAAATACAGAGAGCCACGCCCCCAACCAAAACGCCACTCTATAACCACAAATAATGCTCAGAACAGCACCTAACTTCATCAACAGGACATATAGGGTCACAGACATAGTACTATATTCAGAGTTGTTCTAACTCCTAAGAAAACAAACTTAAGCGGGGGCGTTTCTCCACTTCTGTAGTCTATAAGCTGGGCCAATAAACTTCTACTGTAGTAAAATGAAAAGGTAAAGGTGTTTTTATTGAGCCGAATTATCAATAAAATCATGATTTTGTTAACAGGTATGGATTTATGTGCTGTAGAGTTAATATATTTGAACAAGAGCACAGTAAAGTTAAATCAGCTAATTTTCCAATGAGGTTCTGTTACTGAACAGAACTACAGCATGTTCTACTGAGGTTAGTACATATAGGGTCACAGACATAGTACTAGACACCAAACATCTTTTTAACTTTGACTCATTTCTTTAGCAAAGAGACTAAACACAACTCACCTACTCTCTTCCAGCAGACGCTTGTTTGTAGAGAGACCTCAGGCCAGTCCATTACGGACTACAGCGGGGTGCCGCAGCTCAAGGAAGAACATTTATGATCATTTCTTCATGGAAATACAATCAGACCGAGACGCTAAGACAGAAGAACTACCGCGTCTGTAAAATGATAAATATGGTGATTATTACTTCATTAATTTTACAGCAGAATGTCCCTTTAAACGTAGACCTGTTAGGCGGGCTGAAGAGTCTCAGGTTTATCTCAGAGGGGGGGCGGCTATAGGAGGTTTTTCTGTCCCGTCAGTCCTGATGGATGAAGATGATGGAGCTGCGGGGCTTCAGGTGTTCGCCGCCTTATTAAAACATTAAAGCGGAGAGTCTCGCTCTGAATTCCGGGATAATGGCGAGCGTGTTGGAACAGGAAACGGATCCACGTCTCTGATGGTCCTGTTAGTCTGAGTTCAGGTAGACTGGTCTCTGGTAGGTTCAGGATCTTCAGCAGCAGCTCTGCAGTCATGGAGGATCATGGATTCAGGTGAACCAGGTGTTCTGCTGAGTCAGCATGAAAAAAGAACGCCATCATGACAAGTGTTCAGTTCCTCTCTCTCTCTCTCTCTCTCTCTCTCTCTCTCTCTCTCTCTCTCTCTCTCTCTCCCCCTCATTAGAATACTAATGTCCTCCTCTCTGAATGGAGCGGCGCTTTCAGAAGGAGGTGGTCGTCCCTCCTCTCAATATGTTCCCCGTCTCTTCAGCAGAATCTAAATCTTCAGCAGCTCCCTGCAGCCTCCCCCCTCCTCTCTCTCTCTCTCTCTCTCTCTCTCTGCAGCCCTCTCTCTCTCTCTCCCCCCTCTGTGGAAACTTCTCCTCCTCCCCTGCGTCTCCTCCTGTCCGTCTCCGTTTCTGTTCGGTGTGTGAAAATCTATTTTCCAGAAGCTCCGAGCAGGTAGAGGTGAGAATTACAACCTTCCTCCCCCCTCCTGTTTGCAGAGCTCTAAATCTCCTCCTGCTGAATGTGGCTGTTGTTATGGTGGGGGGGGGGGTGCTTGGCATCGTCACGGCAACCTGCTGTAAACAGAGAAACGTCTGTATAATGAAGACTATAGAGAGTGTGGATGTTTACAGGCTCCTCCTCCTCCTGGCTCCTCCTCCTCCTCTGGTTCTCCTCATGGAGACGTTGAGGGTGGTGTTGTTGTTCCTGCTGGAGAAGATCTGGATCTTTCTTTCACTCTGAAGTCTTTTCAGGGATTTCTGCAGGAAACAGAAGAAGGAATGATTTCCCTCTTCTCCTCCATCACTCTCTCCTCCCTCTCTCTCTCCTCCGTCTCTCTCTCCTCCCTCTCTCTCTCCTTCCTCTCGCTCCTCCCTCTCTCTCCTTCCTCTCTCTCTCCTCCCTCACTCTCCTTCCTCTCTCTCTCCTCCCTCACTCTCCTTCCTCTCTCTCTCTCTCCCTCTTCTCCTCTCTCTCCTCCCTCACTCTCTCCTCCGTCTCTCTCTCCTCCTTCACTCTCTCCTCCCTCTCTCTCTCCTCCCTCTCTCTCTCCTCCCTCTCTCTCTCCTCCCTCACTCTCCTTCCTCTCTCTCTCCTCCCTCACTCTCCTTCCTCTCTCTCTCTCTCCCTCTCTCTCTCTCTCTCCTCCCTCTCTCTCTCCTTCCTCACTCTCTCCTCCATCACTCTCTCCTTCCTCTCTCTCTCCTCCGTCTCTCTCTCCTTCCTCTCTCTCTCCTTCCTCTCTCTCTCCTCCCTCTCTCTCTCTCTCTCTCCTCCCTCTCTCTCTCTCCTCCCTCACTCTCTCCTCCCTCACTCTCCTCCCTCTCTCTCTCCTTCCTCTCTCTCTCCTTCCTCTCTCTCTCCTTCCTCTCTCTCTCCTCCCTCACTCTCTCCTTCCTCTCTCTCTCCTTCCTCTCTCTCTCCTCCCTCTCTCTCTCCTCCTCCGTCTCTCTCTCCTCCCTCATTCTCTCCTCCCTCATTCTCTCCTCCCTCACTCTCCTCCCTCTCTCTCTCCTCCCTCTCTCTCTCCTCCCTCACTCTCTCCTCCCTCTCTCTCTCCTCCCTCTCTCTCTCCTCCCTCACTCTCTCCTCCCTCACTCTCTCCTTCCTCTCTCTCTCCTCCCTCTCTCTCTCCTCCCTCACTCTCTCCTCCCTCACTCTCTCCTTCCTCTCTCTCTCCTCCCTCACTCTCTCCTCCCTCTCTCTCTCCTTCCTCTCTCTCTCCTCCCTCTCTCTCTCCTTCCTCTCTCTCTCCTCCCTCTCTCTCTCCTTCCTCTCTCTCTCCTTTCTCTCTCTCTCTCTCCTCCCTCTCTCTCTCCTTCCTCTCTCTCCTTCCTCACTCTCTCCTCCCTCTCTCTCTCCTCCCTCTCTCTCTCCTCCCTCACTCTCTCCTCTCTCTCTCTCTCCTCCCTCACTCTCTCCTCCCTCACTCTCTCCTTCCTCTCTCTCTCCTTCCTCTCTCTCTCCTCCCTCTCTCTCTCCTTCCTCACTCTCTCCTTCCTCTCTCTCTCCTCCCTCTCTCTCTCCTCTCTCTCTCTCTCCTCCATCTCTCTCTCCTCCCTCACTCTCTCCTCCCTCACTCTCTCCTTCCTCTCTCTCTCCTTCCTCTCTCTCTCCTCCCTCTCTCTCTCCTTCCTCACTCTCTCCTCCCTCTCTCTCTCCTCCCTCTCTCTCTCCTCTCTCTCTCTCTCCTCCCTCTCTCTCTCCTCCCTCACTCTCTCCTCCCTCTCTCTCTCCTCTCTCTCTCTCTCCTCTCTCTCTCTCTCCTCCCTCTCTCTCTCCTCCCTCACTCTCTCCTCCCTCACTCTCTCCTTCCTCTCTCTCTCCTTCCTCTCTCTCTCCTCCCTCTCTCTCTCCTTCCTCACTCTCTCCTTCCTCTCTCTCTCCTCCCTCTCTCTCTCCTCCCTCTCTCTCTCCTCTCTCTCTCTCTCCTCCCTCTCTCTCCTCCCTCTCTCTCTCCTCCCTCTCTCTCCTTCCTCTCTCTCTCCTCCCTCTCTCTCTCCTCCCTCTCTCTCTCCTCTCTCTCTCTCTCCTCCCTCTCTCTCCTCCCTCTCTCTCTCCTCCCTCTCTCTCTCCTCTCTCTCTCTCTCCTCCCTCTCTCTCTCCTCCCTCTCTCTCTCCTCAGTTGGAGCTTCAGTCCTGTCGACAGAAGAGCGACTCTGGTTGATGTTTGTCGTTTTAATTTCCTCTTTTTTTTCGGGTCTTTCTGTGAATCTGAACTCGACTTTGTTCACAAACAAAAACAGGTTTTTATGACCCCTCCCACAGTTGATGAGATTTCAGAAACACAGAAACATGAGCGGGTTCGATGATGAACGGGTTCGATGATGAACGGGTTCGATGATGAACGGGTTCGATGATGAACGGGTGAATCAGCAGCAGGTTTACCTCCAGGACTGCAGCTCTGACCCCGGACAGCCTCACCCCTCCTCCCCCGTTTCTCCTCCATTCCTGATTGGACACACATCCCAGAAATGTCAGAAATGTTTCATGCGTCTCGTCTCGGCCTCGCTGGAGCTGATAAAGGACTCAGACCGGCGGACTCAGGACTGTGGGCCTCAGAACCGGTCCTGGGTTCGAATAAATCAACAACAGTCTGACTTTGACAGTTTAGACTTCATCAAAAACCCAGAGAGGGGGTCTGAAACAGAGGGGGGGTCTGAAACAGAGGGGGGGTCTGAAACAGAGGGGGGGTCTGAAACAGAGAGGGGGTCTGAAACAGAGAGGGGGTCTGAAACAGAGGGGGGGTCTGAAACAGAGAGGGGGTCTGAAACAGAGAGGGGGTCTGAAACAGAGGGGGGGTCTGCCTCCTGGATCCTGACCGATTTGATTCTGATGAGGTCTACCTCCCAGACTATGATCTGATTCAGGTACGGGCAGACCTGCAGGCAGACTACGGCTGCAAAACTAAGATCTAGTCCAAGCCTGAGCCGGCCCTAACCAAAACCTTTACCCCAGAGGGACAACCCTGGACCCTAGACTCTGGACCCTGGACTCTGGACCCAAACTCATCTTTCTCTGCTCACACTAACTTTACTGAAACTCTGTAAATCTGACTCTAAATGAAATTATCCTGTCAGAGAAAAACACTCATTTCACTTCATCAGGTCCATGCAGACGATCAAAGTTCAGCAGGTTCAAATACTGATTATTCCTGACATGATAAAAACTACAGAGACTTTAATGTTTCAGTTTTACAGGAAAAACATGAAATCCAGTTTTTACTCTAGATTTCTTGGTTGGGAACTGTGTGTCCACATGAACTGTTCACATTTAAAACTATTTCAGTAAAAAACAAATCAGTTTTTTTACCTTTGCTGTTTAAAACAGGAGAAATACTGTTTCTATATGATAGAACAGAAAAAGGTTTTACAGAGAACTAAAGCGTTCTGAACAAAAATAAAAAACAACAAAAAAAGGTGCAGTGAAGTAAAAAAGGCCAAAATGACTGTATCTGATCTCTGTGATCTTCAGGGTTGGACCACATGTTCTCATCCTCTCCTGCTTTTCTCTCGGGGCCTCTTCGTCTTCCTCGACCTTACAGTGTTTGTCTTTTTGTGTTTCCAAAATCATCACTGACATGAAATATGTGAATGGTGAGGACACAGAAGATCGATGCTGGGATAACTGAGTTTTAGAGTTTAGAAAATGTTGGACAAACACCTGAACTCTCCATGTCCTCCAGTCCACAGGACCGTTCAGACATCTGCAGAGGGACAAACGGAGTAAATCCTGTTTCTGAAGAGGGTCCAGGGTGTGTGTGTCTGTGTGTGTGTGTGTGTGTGTGTGTTCATGAACGCAGACAGGAAACAGACGGGCAGAGAGACATCGGTCTGTTTCCAAGAGGAGGTGTGGAAAAGACAGGAGAGGGAAAAAGGTGGAGGAGAGAAGGAGGACTGAAAATAGAGTTCTGCAGTTCCTCATGTGACCACTAGAGGCTGTCTCCTTCAGTGAGTCAGTCCTTATAGAGGCCCATGTTAAAGGTGAGGAATCTGTTAAAGAAGCATCTAAATATCAGTCAATAGTTATTAGTTATTGATTATTTGGTAATATATCGATATCTCTGTGTTCTCTTCTGTCTGTGTCGTCAACATTTGAACATTTTTGAGCGGTCCGCTCTTTCTGACTGTAAACAAAGCCGTTCTCCACCTCCTCTAACCTGATTGGTTGTGAGGCAGACGCTGCTCCCCCGTGTCGTTCAGGAGCCCAAACAAAGTTATCTGTGTAAAAACTAACACCCCCCCACACACACACACACACACACACACACAGAGTTTGTGTGTTCTTCATAAATCAGAACCAGAACCCTTTATTGATCCCGTGTTTGGACGACAGCGCGCCCACGTCTGTTTTTTCAGAAGGACGGAGAACAAAGGTCGTTTTTTTTCACCCTGAAGGTTAAACTGCGAGTCTCTGAAGACGGTCAGGTGACGGAGGATAACTCTGAGTAAACCCGGTTCTGTTCGATCCTGTGGTTCTGTGGTTACTTTGGGCAGCGTTCACAGGCAAAGAATCCATGTCTGGGATTTAACTCTGTGGTCGACTCGTGGCGCCGTAAAACGAACCAAATAAGGACGGCAGCCAGGAATCCTGCTCGCTCTGAAGGCCGGGGCCTCGCCGCCGTACGGCGATGTGAGCAGAGATTCACTGATCCCAGAAATCCCCAGAGGCATGCAGCCTGGCCCGGGTTCATCCAGCCGCTGAGGCCGCTGGATCAGAGCCCGTCAGAACCCATCAGCCTCTGCCGGGGTCGCCCGCCGTGCGTGAGTCTGCGGGCTTAAAGGGCTCTCTGCGGGTTTACCGCTGACTCTGCAGAAGTATTCAGGAGGATCCTCTGACCTTTAAACCTGAACCCATCACAGAACCCAACACCGGGTCTCTTCAGAGGCTGAGCAGAGCCACGTTTGGGTCAGAACACGAGCAGAACGCTGTTGGCCGAGGGGATTTCTCAGAAAATATCCCCTCCTCTGGTTAGCAAGCCACAAATCCTGCTCTGGCCGGGAGTCTGTGCTGAATCTGCAGGAACCGAGAAGAAAACAGAGAGCTGCCATGAAAATGAAAGACAGATCCTGTTCTCCAAAAAAAAAGAGAGAGAGAGAGAGAGAGAGAGAGAGAGATTCAGCGCTTCATAAAAAAGGAAAAGATGAAAAATGGAGAGAAATAAACATGGAGGGCTGGAGGGGCCGCGTGTTTCATTTGGCCCGTGGAAGCAGAGAACCGTTAGAGCCCAGTCATTACCCAGGAATCCAAGGGGGGAGAGAGAGAGAGAGAGGGAGGGAGGGAGGGAGGGCGGCCTTCCTCTCCTCCTTTACTTCTCTTCCTCAGCTCCTCTCGTCTCTCTCTGCTGGTTTCTCTCCTCAGACTCGGTTCGATCAGGGATTTGATTGATACGATTTTATCGATATTGATGCCATTAAAGATTCTGCTGATCAATAAAATTCTTCATCGATTCTCTCATCAATGTTTTTCTTCGATTAATAAAAAGTAGACGACAGTCATCAGTGTGAAGTTTGACTGAGTCTCTGAACAGAAACGGATGTTTGTCAGTGAGAGTCTAAAATAATCGATCATCAAAACAATGGATCAGCGTTTACTTTGGTCTGTTTCAGTCAAATCTGGGTGACCATACTCTGGACACAGCAGCGCGAGGGGGAGGAGTCAGGTGTTTTTTTTTTTACAATAACTCAGTCAGTCAACGACACAAACTCGCCGTCGTCTTTCTTCGTAAAATGACGCTTCAGATCGTTTCTGCCGACCTTTCTTACCGTCCGCCATGTTTTTGTCCTCCAAATCTCTGTTCTCGTTCGTGTAGACGTCTCTGACAAAACCAAGATCATTAAAATGTTAACGATGTCGATGGATCCAACCATCGAGGACCAGTTCTCAACAAAACCAGATTCTGATCCTGATCCACATGAAGCTGCAGAGAAGGTCTCTCTCCCTCTCTCTCTCTCTCTCTCTCTCTCTCTCTCTCTCTCTCTCTCTCCCTCTCTCCCTCTCTCTCTCCCCCTCTCTCTCTCTCTCTCTCTCTCCCTCTCCCTCTTGGTTTGGACGGTGAAGATGGTGAAGATTGGATCACGTCGTGGTTGGTGAAGCTCTCCCCCCCCCCCCTCTCTCTCTCTCTCTCTCTCCCTCTCTCCCTCTCTCTCTCTCTCTCTCTCTCTCTCTCTCTCTCTCTCTCTCCCTCTCTCTCTCTCTCTCTCTCTCTCTCTCTCTCTCTCTCTCTCTCTCTCTCTCTCTCTCTCTCTCTCTCTCTCTCTCTCTCTCTCTCTCTC